AAAAGGAGTGTAAATTTATTTTAATAAAAAATGAAATATATAATTATAACAAATATAAATTTCTTTTTATTTGATCAAATTATCAAATGATCAAAGATCTCTCGCAAAATAAAAACCATCTATGAAATCTTTACTCATAGATAAAAGAACAGACTTTATCTTTGCTAAAGACACCCAAGCCAATCACGCTTCGAACCTGGCTATATTTTTTATAAATTTTGTTATCTTACCCAATGGTACTAATATATAATAAAAATTATTATATTTACTATTAAAATAAAAAAAGTTAATATTCTCAAATAACACTCAGGGTAAAGAGTTGTTTACTTACAATTAATTGTTTAATCATAATATGCTCTACAGATTAAAAATATAAAATATCTGTGGGGATCAAGCAGGCTAGTCATGATTTGTAAAAAAACAATTGGACTTGTCATATTTTTCATATCAGTAATATTTTATAATGAATAAAATTTATATATTTTTATACGATGGGAGTTTATACTTTCATATCTATTACGACCCCACATTGGTGACCTACGATGATTGAAATGAAGACAAAGAAGAAGTTTTATTTTTCGAGGATTTATCAATAAAGTTTTTAGTCAGATTTTGAAATTTGTTATTTAAAATCAAAAATAATAATATAAATTACAATAATGTTAAAATATCGTTTATGATTAATTTATTCCAATTAATCCGATTTAGTTATTTAATGATAACAAAATCTCATTAGACTTAATATAAATATAATTAAATTATCGAGTTAATGTTAGGAATTCAATCATCGCTGAGTACGAAATTTTATCACAATAAAAACAACAGTATGAATACCTAAACTATATTTATCTTAAATATGCTTATAACAACCGATATCAGACATACATGTAAGCTTCAATAAAATTTCAAATTTCACAATGCTTTATTATGAATAATATGGCTTACACATATTATTTCACGCATTTGAATCTTTATTTGCATAATAAATTTCTGGAATTATTGAAGTGAAAACATTCACATATTAAACATTCATTAATGATTATTTTTCGCCAACAACATACCGCTTAAATTTAAAACTATTTTTGATATGAAATCCGCGTTGAGATAATATCCGCCGCACTGGTTATATATACCAGAAACTAATTTAAATACTAGTCAGTGCTTTGTCAAAATTCTGCGAACGACGAATTATTTTATTTCATTACAAAATAATACAAATACACGGAGCTTTATGCCCGAGACGACATGAGATTATTTTGGGCCTTTACGGTATTTTTGTGCCTTCATTGGGGTAGTGGAGTTAGGTAATAGATATAAAACAACTTTAAATTTTATTATTAATAAGATATATTTAATGATGGTGTTGAATAAAATTTCAGCTCTCAGGCATTGCCTACTGGTACATGTGACTGTGCAACATTTGCTCGAAATAATGTAAGACCTAAAAGGCCACTTGTTACTTGGCCGGCGGGTGACACGGCCTGTTCTGCGAGTTCAGTAGCTCGTTGTCGATTAGAGTGCAATAAATTTTTCAGAACATTTGAGTTCGACGCTTTGGATTTGGTTTGTGGTAGTTTACAAGATGCTACTAGGGTACAGGTAAGAAATATTTGATTTTAACCGAAGTTATCCTAGGATTTTAATTTTTTTCTCGTAATGTAAATATAAACTGAAAATTGGAGACGTTTAGACTGTTGATACCAACAATATGTAGTTAACACTTGAGCCATATCGCTGGAACATTCAGTATAGTAGCTCAATATATAAATAAAATTAGTAATTCATTAAAAAAATTAATTATTGAAAAAACATTAGGCACATGAAAAGTTTCAAGAACTACTAACTACTGAGATTACTTTTCAGATTCTTTTTGGATACCGAATTTGCAAATCGAAATGGCATAGTCTTGGGCTTAGTGAAGAACCCATATGTTGCAAAAAATCAAGACCCATTCATTGCGACACAGTTGACGCAACCAGAAGGTTGAGCTATCCGCATAATCCTCATGGAGAACTCGCCAACAAGAAAAAGGTGACGAAAAAACCACCAACTATGAAAATAGAATCCGATAATGATAAACCCTCTAAAGAAGATGATGATAAGACAAATAGTAAGAAAATTGATATTAAACCTGAGGTAGCGGAGGACAATTCTACTAAAAAGGTAAACAAGAAGATAGAAAATAATGATTCGGCAAAAAAAACGGTAAATACAAAACCCAAGGAAGAAGCCAATAAAGAAGAGAATGACGAAAAACGCATAACGAAAAAATCTAATAATGAAACTGTAGTTGAGGAAGTTGAAGAAGCTGAAGAAGATACAGAACAAGCAGAAGATGAAGATAAGCCCTCTAAAAAGAACATTAAAAAGGCTTTACAAAAGCCAGGATCTACAAGAAAACGGCAAAAACCGTTACAAAAGCATGAAGACGAAAAGGTTTAATTTATTGTACTTATAACCATGACTAATGGAAACTATTTTTGTTAGTTTTAGCATAAAAAATAAAACTGGTTATTATGATTTAATATATAAACCGTTTTGATACCCTAATTAACTGTTTCCTTGAAAAAAACTTGGTCCTAATTTAAATCATAATGCTAGTAAATAAAGGCATGACAAATTAAAAAACTCATACAAAATAATTAGAATCACTATTATCTTATGTATTTTTAATTTAAATTTTATAAATAAAGAACAACGATAAACAAACTATTTCAAGTCTCATATCCCACCATTAAGATCACATACATAAATGATTTTGCCTATTTGGCATATTATGAACATAGCAACATATATTGCAATTCAGTTACTACAAAACATCATTGAATACAATACTAAAAATTGTATGTCTAGAAAAAATAACTGCAAACAAATAGCAATAACATTTGCCTAGTTTAACTCAACTTGTCACAAGACCATTTGAATAATTCACATATGGCTGTGTGAGTTTCACATACAAAGGGTCTAGCACAAAACATTGTTCAGTAATTCAATGCATTATTTACTTTTAAGGTTTTTACACATTTTCTCTAAGTTGGTCTTCATATTTGTACTATTCTAAGAACTTTATCAGATTGCGTACAATATTTTCCAAAAAGCAGCTTATATATTTTAGCGCTAATCAAAAACTTTCATAAATATTTGCTAATGAGAATATTAGTTTTGGTATAGTTATGTTATCACCTCATACATTTGTCAATTGCTTGTAAAGCTGAAGACTTGTATGATAGGATTCTAAATTAAATAATCCAAAATGATTTTTCTATGTTCATTAGCAAGTCTTCTCAAAAATAGATATGTTTTTGAACATTAGCATTTTTATCAAGTGAAAACATCAGGTGCACTATTTTATTCTGTAATAACCCCCTTCACCCCTATTCTTTTCATAACCATTAATATCATCAAGTGTTTAGTTACACATTTGCATACCAATTTTTTAAAATGATTCATGAAAATGAGAAAGTAATTTCACTTCTCCATGTTTGAATTATAATGTTTGATTTTGTTTATCAAAACACAAAGTGATAACTTTCCCTTAACATAGATTTTATTATAGAAAAATTTAATATAAATGCAGCTAGAAAGCTAACCGTTATGATGTTACGCTTAATATCAACATTCTTAAAATCGAATACATAAAACATTTTATCCTAAGTACATATTTTAAGATCGTTCAACTTATCACAGACGATTTATTTTTATCTTGTTGGCAGAAAAACTCATTTGTGCTAATGAACTTTTCTTTAATTTCCTATCAATTTATAGAATTACACATTTTTGAAAATATTTATCTATGCATTACATACATGAACAATACAATTAAAACAAAATTGAATTAACAATGAATATGAATAGCTACAAGACAGTCGAGAACTTAATATTGATTGTGTTTTGACTCTACCCTTTCATTCACGAGTATTCAATTATAAAAATATATTGAAACTAACAAACCACAAAAATTGTACAAGGATGTACATAAATATTTTGTATAAAAACTATTTCCAACATTAATCAATTAAAATATGATATTAAAATCTGAATAATGTGGTGTAAACCAATTTAACAACATAGAAAAAAACCTTTATTTCAGTATCGCTCAAAATTTTTATATATTTATCAATCGGGACAAATGCTGCCAACTTTAATGTATATAAGATTTTATATTAAAATCGTCATTTAATCTATATTTGGAATTAGTTTCTATTTTCAAATCCTCATTATAAAAATCGTTCCAACATTCAATTGTTGAAATTGTTCAAGAGGATAGATTTAAAATTATTTGAGTTAATTTTATATGCAAATGAATCATTTTGTTGTTGAAATGAATGAATTGTTGTTGAAATAAGCAGTATTGAATGAAGCATTAAAATCTGTTAATTTTCAACATTCAAAATAAATATTTTTAAATCCGTTACTGTAAATTGAGTTGTGTTTGGCTAAATCAACAACAATGCACTGCATATTTTCGTTGAGTCTATAATCATTGGGTGAACATTGGGGGTTTTTGTTAAAGGCCTTCAAAAAAAAAAATTACCTCATAAATAATTCTTAAATAGAATGAAGTTTTAACTACTCCGCTCACACTTGTGTGAAAATTATCAAAATAAGGCAATTGAGCAAAATTAATCACAGTTTGGCTCAATGTCCATTATCATGTTGCCAGCAACTTTATGCATGATTGTATGATTCAATTTGAATCTATTTGATGAGAGTATGCATTGAGACAAAACATATAATTATTAAAATCATTTTTAACTTTACCCTATGCTTGGCGTCGCTAAGATTAATCGTGATATAGAAACATGCTTTAAAAAGCAAATATACAATTACGTATATATTAATTTAATGAGTAATCTCCATACATAGTGATTACCAGGCCAAGCAAAGAGAAATCTATTGATTTATAATTAAAAACATAGTAATTAATATCTACAAACACGCAACAATGCGATGTATCGGTACTTACATAATATACTGTTCAATTAATAATAATTATACAAGTTAAATGCATTTCTCATTAGAGAAATGCTTTTAATATTATAAATATATTTTGTCATTAATTAGTGAAAATGATCGAACATGAATGACAGGCATGTACGCCTCTCTATAGACAATCAAAATAAAAGTAAAGTCAAAACGTAAGGTTTTGCAATCTGTAATGTTTGTGTGAAAACTTCAAACACGGCATTGAACAAAAGTAAAGGGACGCGCACCACCTAATTTAGAAAACGCTAATGACTCAATTATCGTTCCACCAGTCGGGACCTGCGTTCGTAGTAGAACCACCATAATTGCCGCCGTAATTACCGCCGCCACTGCCATAGTAACCACCGCCTAACAAACAATTAGCATATTTAAATTATTGAGCAAAATGCAGATGAAGTAACTTATGTTCATTAGTTTATTTTAACATCAACAACAGCCCAAACATTTCATTTCACTAATTTATAATATTTCCTAAAAACTTGTACATCCTCAAAAATACCACTAATTTTATATTTTCAATTAAATCTTTTTATTGAAGAGTTAATATAGTCATATAATAAAAATCAATCAAAAACTAAACCAAAAAAGAGTATTCAAACAAAAAATGTTTCAAGCTGATTTTTTCAAAAAAGACTTTGAAAGTGCTTTAAAAGAGCTCTTGGTACTGCTAAAACTGACGTCCTAGAGAGTAATGATATGAACAGGCATGTTTATATAAACATGTTGAAAAAATAAAATAGTCGATAATAAATCTTATAGTAAAATTACCTGCAATACTCTGATTACTAAATATATGCAACACCGAAAGAATTTGTCATATATATGCAACACGGAAAGAAATTTATGGGCTGAATGGAAATTACGCTATAGGAAGTCTGTCGCAATTTAAACACTGTGTGATATGGTAATCACGTTGGTACCGCATTACAGAAGGGTTGACTATATACAGATGATATGACGGTTTTATAAAAACCAAAATAGTATTTTGAAATATGGGGAACATGGCTAAAAAAGAAGCGTCTCTCTGGATTCAATACAAAATTATCCAATAGAATGAAATTCCTTACATAAAATTAAACTAATAATAAAAAAAAAAATGCAACGTTTATTATGCCATACCTCCTCCATATCCGCTGTTTGATCTGCCGCCGCCGCTTTGCCTGCCACTACCTCCGCTTCCGCTTCCACTGCCTTGCTGTGTGCGGTAGTCTCGTGACCCAAATCCGGAACCGCCGAACCGACCACCGCCGCCGCCGCCCCCGTTACGGCCAGAACCACCGCGTCGAACAGTATAACCACGATCAGTTGACACGCGATCCATCCAGCTGGTAATTAATTCATACTACATTGAATCAAATTCATAACAATAATATTGCATATGAATTCTATCACTCATATAGCATTTAATTAACAAATATACGTAATTTGATTCAAGTTACCTAGGCAATTCTTGTTTGGATTCAACAAGCAGTTCAATTAAGTCTTTGCATAAACTACGATTCTTATCATTAAAAAAACTTGTTGCAACACCAAGATTACCCATACGACCAGTACGGCCGATGCGATGCACATATTCTTCAACATCAGAGGGTAAATCAAAGTTTATCACATGTTTTACATGTGGAATGTCCAGACCACGAGCAGCTACAGCTGTTGCAACTAATATTGGGGTGGAGCCTGAAATTTATAAAGGATATTCAAAGTGAGTTTTATAAGTATGTTTATAACTGAAGTATATATATTTGTGTATATGTAAACTTGGAACTATTGAATTTTAATAAATTTCTATACCATTCTATATGTACGTAAATAAATACCTGAGCGGAATCTTCTCAATGCATCTTCACGTTCTCTTTGAGTCCTATCACCATGAATTGATGTAACAGGATAACCCTCTTGATCCAAAAACTCTTCTAAAGAATCTACTCCCTTTTTCGTTTCTGCAAAAACTAGTGTTAAACTTTCAGCAGAAGGTTGTGTTAGATCAGAGGCATTCAATAAATCTAATAAAAATGATCTTTTATCATGCTCTTCAACCCACAGAACTTTTTGTGTGATATTTTCGCTAGTTGATCCAACACGACCAACAGCAAGAAATATATAGTTATCAAGAAAGTCTCTGGCCAGTTCCTGAATAACTTTTGGGAATGTGGCTGAGAACATCAAAGTTTGTCTTTGACCAGTGCGTGGCATTGTATCCTGTTCTACTATTCGCCTAATTTGTTGCTCAAAACCCATGTCTAACATCCTATCAGCCTCATCAAGAACTAAATAATGACAATGATCTAAACCTATTTTGCCACGCTGAAGCATATCTACTAATCGACCAGGAGTGGCTACTAAGAGATGGCATCCGCGATCCAATTCGCGCATTTGGTCTCCCACATGAGCTCCGCCATATACAACTGCCGGTCGCATACTTGAACGATAAGCAAATTTTTTAGCTTCATCAAAAATTTGAGTGGCAAGTTCTCTAGTTGGGGCCAAAACTAAGCCCAAAGGATATTGTTTTCGGCGGCCATATGAGCGAGAATTTGGCGGTGGTCCACGTTCATATATTTGATTTAATATGGGTACTAAAAATGCAGCAGTTTTACCTAAAAACAAGATTTAATTTCATGTAATTATTAAGCAAATAAAAATGCAGAAAATGATCAGTTTATAAAGTTTTGAATACAAAATTTGTTAATGTTTGAATGAATAACAAATATCTCAAATCAAAAAGTATTTTAAGACGACATTATCTAATATGGTATAAAATAGCTGTACATAATTGATTAGCGTTAATTAAATAAAAAACAATAACTTACCAGATCCTGTCTGAGCGCATGCCATAACATCCCTTTTGCTAATGATGATTGGTATAGCATACTTCTGTACAGGGGTAGGTGTATCATAACGAGCTAATGCAATATTGTTACGTATAATCTCAGTCAACTTGACATCTTCAAAAGAGTTGATAGGCTCAGGTACTCTATCACCCGTCGCCTCCACGGGAATGTCTTCATACTATAAAAGAAATAATGATAACAGGATTATATAAAGAGACCATGAACTTATAAATATTTATAAATAGTATTAAAAATTATGTGATTATATAGGAATACAAATTCCCAAAAACACATTTAGAACTATTGATACCTTGCAAAAAAAAGAAGCTGACAATAATATATATGCAGGTAAAAATTATCCACATTAAGACTATTTTTTATTTTTGATTATTTTAAAACTTATTATGTTCTACTTTAGAAGGTATTCATGCATATGCCATGATCAAGTTTACAAATCTGTCTGAATCAATCACACAATGTATAAAATAGTTTTTGTTATATATAAATTTGTTAAGTACCTTATTAAAATTAATGCCAGTATTAGCATTGCCAAATAATTCAAGCTCAAGACGTTCATCGCGAGCCGTCGGAATCGTCCAGTCCACATCGGAGGATCTACCACCTCCAGTACCACCTCCTGCACGTCCTGTAAAATTTTTTGTGAATAAACTACAGACGATAAATAGACAGTCTAATTTTATAATTAGTAAATAGCTATTAGAAATCATCTATTTAAAGCTCATGCACTATTCAATTTAACAACCATTTATGCTGAAATAACATACAAACCTCCGGCGCTTTTTGGCTTATCGTCTTGCCAGCGGTCGTTATTACGCGAATCGCGTGCACTGCTACCTCTGTTACCCCATCCTCCGGCATCTCTCTCATTATCACGGTGATCGGGCCAGCCATCGCGCTCACCGTTCTGGTATCCGCCTCCACCACCGCCGCGGGAACTACCACCTCTGTTAAAACTACTGAAATCGGCACCGCGGTCTCTATTGCCACCACCACCGCGCGATCCAAAACTGCCCGCTGAACGGCTACCCCTGTGAGAACATAAAAAAAAAATGAATTTCTTTCCTTCGTGATTTTAAATTATTTGAAAAATCCATCATTAAAATTATAAAATTAGATTGCATGTCATTAAATGAAAGTATCTTTTGCAATAGGACTAATGTTTATCATTATGTTATAGCATATAGAATTACATAAAATTGTCAAACTATAAAAAGTGAAAATTAAATTTCTTGTTATAATGATTATGTTATGGCAGTGGTCGGAAAACTTTTTTATTCATCACCCCAAAATATTTTTGTATAAAGAAATCTTTTCTTTTTATCATTGTAGTTTGTGTTATGCCCCCATTATAATTTTGAACAGAATACAATAACTAAAATTTCTATTTAAATGTTACTGAAATTGACTTAGTGCGTGGACGACTAAATATCAAATACATTGAATATAAATCATTTAAAAATATATACTTTCTGGGGTAATGTACCCCGATTCTCCGACCACTTAAGGAATAATATATTGATGTATGTCAAATATATAATAAACAGAAGTATGACAAGGTATATTATCACAAAAGAGCAAAACGGAATAGAACTTTCTGAGAAGATTAAACTTATCAAAAATTTTCATTTCCTCTCTCTTTACTTAAAGAAAACTATCTGACAAAATAATAAATGTAATATTATAAATTGTGTTGATACAATTTATACAAATATGTTATAAATAGGAAGCAATTGAAACTTTTGACAACACAAACTTTTTATTTGTAAGTATCGATAAATAATCACCCTCTAAAATCCCTTGTGTCTCGATAATCTCTGGAATCACGAAAAGAATCTCCAGTACGGGAGTCACTTCTAGAAACTTGGTTATTTTCACTAGCAGCAGATAATTTGCCACGTAAATGGGGCGGCACGTAACGACCAGTATTTTGGCCGCCCTGCAAGTCCAGACCAGCAAACTACAATTAAAAATAATTCATCAATTTTTGATAATCTCATCCACTACATAATTTAGTTAAATAAGTTGACAATGTCATTTTCTTAATGTATTTTTTTCTACTGTCTATTATAAAATGATTCTATTGTTTAACTTAAAGTTTTACATCCTTTTATTGAGAATGTAGAAATAAAAAATTGTATAGTTTTGCACATGGCGGCCATTACATGAGTAAGACACGTCGAACAGGATACAATTATAAATAAATTTATCAATTAAAACATTCAAATTATGTGGATTATTAAAAATAAATATAACTCAATATTTTTCCTGATGCAATAAATTGGAAACATGGGAATTTGGCTGTCCAAGCACCAATTAAGGCTTGAGATTGACATATACCGTACATTCATTTTGACAACACATATAATTAAAATAATTTTAATTCACCTGCTGCTCTAGACCTGATCCATTTTGGTTGGTAACATTACTCATATTACTACAAATCAATACGTTTTTTGAACTTTTTTGGTAAAGTTCTATCAAATAAAAAATTACTCCAAAAATTTAGTAGCGTCTTTTATATGACCGCACAAAGGCGCTTAATTGTACCGCCAGTAGAGAAAGAAACTGCTTAACTGTGTAGTTCACTTTAACGCCGCAATACATCACATCAACGCGATGTGTTTGAGCGCTTAATTTAAATTAAGTAGATTTTTTAAAATCATAAAATGCTTAATAATTTTTGCACGAATTCGGATATATACTATGTATATATATATATATATATATATATATATGTATATGTATATATGTATATATATTTATATGATTTATATAGTAGTTAATTTATATATATATATATATATATATATATATATATATATATTATTAAATATCTTATTTTATCTATGTAAGTATCTATATAATTTAAAAATTTGCTTAACGCTTTCGATTTACGAAATTAAATACTTTTAAGCTCTGTATTTTCTGTGTTTTCAATTTTACCACAAATCAACAACCATTTGATTTTTTCTTTGAGCTGATTTATTCAATTCTTCTATTTACATTGTACAAAATATTGTGCAGCAACTCATTTATTTCAATTTAGTCTCATTTTGTTAATATAGTAGCCAAAATATTCTATATCCGTTCATTTCTTTACTTTCTCTATCAGTACTTTGTCAGTCATTATCTTATTTGTTTAGAATTTCAAAATTTTATGAAGGATATTTGTTTAAAATTACCACATGTGGATAAGTCAAGTAAACTTATAAAACAAATAAAAAAATTACAATATCATATTCACTAGGTAGTATTAGTGCTTTAAGGCAAGTTATATAAACTTCTAGTTATATATTTGAATAGACTTTCAATATGAATTAAGATTTATCTATTTGGCTAAATAATCAAAAGTTAAATGAAATAAAAGTATACTTATTTCACTAAAAACTAATCAATGCAATTTCTAATTGAAACAAAAATAATATATATATATATATATATATATATAAATATATATATATATATATATCATCATCAAACTATCAAGGTATATATATATATATATATATATATATGAAATAAAAAAGTTTTGCAAAGACTGGAAGAACGAGAAGGAATCTGAATCGAAGCAGGGCCTTCTGCATGACACCACCGAAGAAAATAAATAAAAATGAAGGAAAGACGGCACAAAACATTGTAGGTGTTAAACGACTTATGGCAGAAAAGTAAATGCATAGAATTGAAAGTCGAGCCACAGGAAACGGAACTATGGAAGCAGAACCTTTTTGAAGGAGAACGTGATGCATAACCAAGGTATGGAGAAGGGGTAAATTGTGTTGCTTCATGCGGATCTGCATTCAGACAGAGTGCCAATCATAGATAAACAAGTATAATAATAATAATGAATAAACATCAATAAATTGGTATATTGAATGACAGTAATTAAGTTATTAACCAACAAATATATGCATATAAAAGAAAAGAGCATATATTTATATAGATTGTGTGTGTATTTATCATGGCTGTGGAGTAACATACTTCTTGGTAGGCTTGGTACATGCTTTAATACATGTCCGCTTATCACCATTTTGTTGCGCGATTTACGCCCCATCTGTGAAGAAAGAGTAATTTTAATTTTGTCTATAGTGTATAATGGTGAAATGACAAAAGCTAAAGCTAAAACATTTGAGTAAAATATATGCTTTTTGAACCGATTGTGTATTTATTTGTGCATCACTATAGTAAGTACTCAAAATTTCTTAAATGACATTATGAAATTATAAGTAATAATGTTGATGCATTTTACATAAATTTAAAGGGACCTCTTCAACAATTTAATTTTGCAGATGTTTTAGCATGTTGTGGTATATAACAGTTATTAATACAAGCAAGTTTATATTTACGTGAAAATGTATATATAAATTCTATTGGATTATATTATTAAATATGTATGCTGTATTATGATTTATGTTATAAAATATTAAGTATAAAATGGATTCTGAACATGAAACTGATAAATCGTTAGATGTATCGTCTTCATCACAACTATCAGATAACAATGAAAATTCTACTTCACATATATACATTGCAATTGATGAAGAAGAAAATAAAAATGTGAATTATAGTTTTGATGAAAATATTAATAACGATAGCAAATCCTCAGGTTCCGAGAAAATCAGTAGCACAGAGGAGACAGGTAAAAAGTTTTTATTTGTTATTGGTTATCTAAAACATAAAATATTATGATATATGTAATATTCTCAATTAAATGGTAGTACACTCGTACACACACATATGTATATATTACATGTATTATATATATATATATATATATATATATATATATATATAAATAAAAATACATTCTTTGTCTTGATAAGTTTTTTTTTTTGAATTGTAGGTACTCTTTTTCAATCTCCAAAAGGCGATGGCAGTCTATCTAAACCCAAAATCAGTCGTGAGTTGAAGGGACTGCATAAAGCTGCTGCAGAATCTAAAATTATTACTGAGTTCACAAATGTGAAAGAGAAAAAAAGAGTCAGAAAATCTTTGAACTCTCCTAGCCTAAATAAAGGATTGGACAGTGGTAGGAAATCTACAGAAATATTGAGTAATGAAGATGAAAATGACAAAAACCATGAAGGAGATAAAACACCAAAAAGTAATAAAGTAAGATCTTTAAAAACACCTACTGATGCTAAAAGATCTGTGAATCTTGAAAAGTTATTTAATTCTAAGGTATTTTAAATAGTATTTGTATTTTTTTTAATATCACACATTTTCTGTAGAATGACTGTTAAATTTGTTTGAATTTGGTTTTTATCTAATTCTGTGCGATACATCTATATAAATCAAGATTATGCAAAATAGTAGTTATAAATATTATTATATAATATTAAAACAAATATTATATTATAAATATTTTTTAGGATAATATTGCTGATATGTTTTGTTGGCAATGTCACAAAACTGATGTGAGTGTTTCTTGTAAAACATGCCCAAGATCATTCCATCAACGTTGTGTTCGAGGTAATATAACTGATCTACATGATTGGTGTTGTCCTGAATGTGTATCAATAGTGCAAGCAGAAACGACTGACACCAGGTTTGCCACATTTATTTTAAAATACTATTTTTTCAAATTAATTTTTAAATATTTTAACAATGTAAAAATAATACATTAGTGTAATTTATTATTTGGTGATTAACTGTTTATTGCATATTCATGTAATTTTTGTAATTATGAGTGCATTTATTCATAACTTGCATCATTCAATATTAAATTTATTTATATATATATCAAGGATACCCTGCATTACATCCTTAATTTGTTCCGTGAAAAAGTTCATTGTGCGAAACATGTTTTTCTAAGGTCTACTCTTTGAAGTAACTTGAGTAACATGTTTTTTTTACTACAAATGACAACGATTTAATACATTGTGCGGAATGTTTGAGACCTAAAACGAAACAATTTTACCTCGGGATCTGCAGCGATTACATAGCCTCTGATCTGTGCAAAAATACTTAAAAAAAATTTTCCACAGTTTTGCAAAACAAAACTCTCATTATTTTTCTTATTAAAAAATTCATGATTATCAACTGGTTAGTTGTATCAATGTTAGTGCAAATTTCTGTGATGTGTACACAATTTTAGATATAAAGTACCATGTTCAATATCCACTGATGATGACATTAAATTGAATGTCGAAACGTTTGGAATTAAAGATTATTTTATAAATCTTTGGCTTTTTCTTTGTTTGAAGAACTCACTCATATATTTCAACATCAAAATTTACTACTAAATCATATATATAAATATATATATATATATATATATATATATATATATACATTTATGTATGTATATATGTATTTATGAATCTTTAAATATGGATTATCGGCTTTTAAAGAAATACTATCACTGCCAAATCCAATTCATAAACAATTTTAAATGAAAAGGATTTTTTTTTCAGATCAAATGCAATGAAACAAGTTTCTCTTAGTCACCTATGTGAACTATTGAAATTTGCTTTGAAAAGAATGACTGATTATCTTGGGGTAAGTGATAATAACATTTAATTTTACATTCCTTTATTTAAAGTACTTCATATCACATATACATATATATACGAGGTCTGTTCAAAAAGTACCCAGAATTACTAATAATTAAATTTCGCGGGTCTGGAGTGTCTGATTGTCAAAATTTTTTTTTTATTGTGTTGGTATACATGCCCCTAAAGTATGATGAAATTTTCAGCTATATTCACTGTTTACTTTGTCTGTGGTAGTCGCTAAGGTTCGACGTGTTTTTCTGAGCTCGGCGATTTTTACAATGGAAGAATTGAAAAGTCAAAGAATTTGTATTAAATTTTGCGTAAAAAATGAAATAAAGTGTTGCAAAGTGCAAAAATTCACCAGATATGGCTCCGTGTGACTTTTTCCTATTCCCAAAGTTGAAGAGACCCATGAAAGGACGGCGGTTTTCCTCGATTGAAGAAAATCGCTGAGAGTGCTCAAGGACATATCAAAAAGTGAATATCAAGGGTGCTTCGAAAATTGGAAAAAACGCTGGCATAAGTGTATTATATCTGGGGGGGACTACTTTGAAGGGGACCACATTAATGTAGACGAATAAATAAATATTTTTTTGAAAAAACGAAAATTCCGGGTACTTTTTGAACAGACCTCGTATATATATATATATATATATATATATATATACACATGTGTGTGTGTGTGTGTGTGTTAACAGTCTCCAATGAATATTATGTACTGCTGTCCCAAAAACAATAAGTTTGGTGAAGACCAATTCATACCCAGCCGGCTCTGTTTGGTATTTATGTAAATTTATGTTTATTTCTGTGGTGGAGAAGAGAATAATTTTTTTTAAAATGTTTAATAATTATTAAAGCTAAATTATAAAATTTGCCTTATACATTGAAAAAATGATCTTTTACATTATATAAATAACAAGTACTTTTAACATTTTGTATAATATATTCCCATATTCAATAGGATTTTTTTACAGGCAGAACCCTTCTTACATCCAGTAGACAAAAATGAATTCCCAGATTATGCAAAATATGTAGTTCATCCTATGGATTTGAGCAAACTTGAGCAAAATATTAAAAAAAATTTATATGGATCCACAGAAGCTTCATTGCTGATACAAAATGGATACTTCACAACTCCATTATATACAATTCAAGTAAGCATATAGAAATACTTTGAATTTGTATAGCCATTTTTTTTAACCCCATGTTATACAAATGTAATCGACAAAACTATCATCATATTTATATAATTAACTTCCCGTAGGGCAAGTTAAAGTAATCACAAAAAAATAGAAAATGAAATTTTTATATATCTTTACGTTTCAAAGGTTTCTGAACATTTTTGGCATACCTTAGAAAAAATTGTTGTATGTGTGTGTGTGTAGATACAAACTTTTGTCGACGATTTCGGGAACACCGTTTCACCGATTTGAATGATTCAAAAAACATTCGATTCCTATTGATAAGGAGACGTGTTGATTAGTTTTTGGCGAAGGCAGGTCTAGCCGTTCCGAAGATACGGGGCAAAAGTGCCAAAAACGGTAACTCAGTTTTTAAAGAACGGAGCGTCCGATTTTAATAATTCAAAAAACGTTTTAGTTGTATTGACAAGATGAAGAATTGATCAAATTTTCATAAAGGCAGGTCCAGCGGTTTCGGAGATCTAATACAAAAAGTAAAAAAAAATGCCATTTGGCGGTCAAAAATGATCATTAGACATATGCATATCAAATTATCAGATATTTTATAGAGATTTTAACAATTAATATAAATTTTGTTTGCATTCCTATGGGTTCTGTACCAATGTTTATTCGTTAGACTGCGACGCGGCGCTTAGGCTTGACATTTTGTCTCTATGCAGTTAAAGCAGTACGATTGCTTTGAAAAAATGTTCAGAATTTACAAAATATGTCAAAATAAAGAAAACATTTTTTTAAAAAAAAAAGTAATTTTTTGTCAAATTCCTAGTTTCTCAAAAATATAATTTTTTTGAAGTCAATTGTTTTCAAAAATGTTAATCGTTTTTAAAAGAATAATAATATTTGAAGTTCCAGCAATTTACCTTAAGGCTAGATGCCATGCGCCCCACTAGTTATAATTTGTCATTTAAAATACATGAAGATTATTTAGTAAATAATTAAAGTAATTAGTATTTTTAAAAATGTTCTTGGTTTCCATAAGGTATCTTATTGAATATCTCGACACCTAAGTTCTTGGAGATGATTTAAGTTTGATTTTTGGATATATCACAGCATGTTCATTTTAAGTATTGCGGTTATGGATATCACTACTCAATATATGATTAATATATCAGCATGTGTTGCAATTGCTATATATAAATATTGATGTTTGAAATACAAGCCAGCTGTTCTAAAAAATCTACAATGTTTTCAGTTCATACAAAATTAACCAGTGTGGCAAAAGGCATTATCAAAATTTGTAAGCAGGAAATGAATGAAATAGAAACATGCCCAGAATGTTATCTTAAGGCAAATACACACAATGATACAAATTGGTTCCTTGAGGTGTGTTCACATCCACATATGCTGGTTTGGGCAAATTGAAAGGTAATTTTGCTTTTATATTTACCGAATTATTCCTCTTTGTAAGCAAAATTATATTATGTATATAAAAATAGTTTTCAATTTGATTTTAGTTTCTGAACTTAAATGATTTAGACCAATACATTTATAAAATATACTCATATTTAGTAATTAGTTATCACTATTAAATAGTTTTCAATAATAATTATTACTACAGGTTATCCGTACTGGCCAGCAAAAGCAATGACTGTATCAAATGGCAATTTAGTAGATGTTAGATTTTTTGGAGCACATGATAAAGCATGGATACCTATGAAGGATTGCTTGCTTTATAGTGAGAAAGATCCAAATTTCAGTGATAAAGGAAAACGCTCTGATTTCATCGAATCACTTAGGGTTAGTATATTTTGGTTTTTATACTTCAATATTTAATTATATCACCTTCAATCAACCGAAGGGGGGGTAAAATCTTTGATATCAAAGTCACATTTTTATTTAATGATTAATCTTATTAAAGCATTAAATTTAATATGAAAAAGTATAAAGAAATATATTGCTTTGTGGTGAGATATCTTAATGTATGTTTATAGTAATAATGCATATACTTGTATATAGTATATTGAATATCGAAGAAATGAATCAGATTTTGAAGATATATGTCAAATTTATATGATTGAAATATTAAACATAATGTTTATTTGATATTCTCATTATTATGTATTTATAGGAGTTAGCTATATATGTGAAAAATCTTGAGCAAAAATTTGGAAAATTTTGTCATGCACCATTCAAAACTCCATATCCTAATGATCAAGCAGCTATTTATAGTATAATGTTACCTTCATATAAATTCAAATCAGATATTGCAAATAAAAAAATAATAACAAAACAAAAAGTTTGTGACATAACGGATAAACTACTAGAGGACACAAAAGGTAACATGAAAATAAATAATTCGTTAGATGAGGATAGTTATATTGAAGGATATGATACTGAAGATGAGGAAGCACTAAAAGATGTATCAAATGAATCTGTTGATAATGTAAATGATATGAAAATTAAACAAACACCTTTGCGTGCACGTGTTAGAATGAGAGGTGGTAAAATTAATTCAACAGGAAAAATAAAGGTAATAAAAATTATGAAAGAACATATGGAAGATCAAGTGATAGAATCTCCAGAATCTATGAAAACTGAATTTTCATCCCAAAAAAATGACGATAATGACACAAAAGCTACTGATACTATGATGCATAATGATAGTAAAACTAATAAAAGAAAACTAAGTACAAACAGTCTAGAAGTGCAGGAGAAAAAAATTAAGCCAGACGATATTCAAGAAACTGTATCAGCAACACCCACTAAAAATGTCAGCAAAATTTCCAAAGAAAAGACTCCCGAAATTAGTCAGAGTGTTTCAGTACTTGATAATAAAAGTGATAAAGATGAAGATGTTAACTGCCTTGTATCAGAGCATGAATTGAATCCCAATAAAGTTGCAGAAAGTAATGCAGTTAATACCCTCACCATTGTAAACCAGCTACCTCAAATTAGTATAATGGGGTGTCGAAATCAAATTCAGTTAGTAATAAATTGAGCCCTGACACAAATAAAAATACTGATGACATAAAAACCAATTCTATTGCAAGAGTAGTATTAAAGAAAAGAAATATGATACAAGAAAATAGCAGTTTTGTAAAAAGGGTTAGCATCTCAAAAATGAATTCTAATACTGAAACTAATAACAAATCATCAGTGGAAGAACATGCTTTGCATAGAAAAGTAATATTGAAATTAAAAAGGCATCCCCTTGCAATGCTATTGTTATACCTGACAGCACAATATCCTCATTAGATGTTGAAATTAAAACTGAACCAATTGATGGTTATGATATCGATAAATCATATAATGCATCAGAATCCACTACTGAGGCATATATTGATAATTCTACAAAAAAGCAATCTGCTAGAAAATCTTTTCCCAATAAACCCAAGATGAATATATCGCCTGCAACCAAAAATAATTCAAAGGAGTCGGGAAGTATTAATCCTGCGAGTATGGTTTATATACCACAAAATTCTACAGCACCTAAAGTGGAAGCAAAGTATCAAGTATCAGCAGCATCCTCAAATCAACAGCAAACATCAGCATTTGTGTTACCTAAAAGACAAGAAGCTTCTATTAAGATTTGTAATACTCCAAGAAATAATTCTTCCACAATTGATAATAGTACAGCTTTCAAAAGTGCTGATCTCATAGAAGAGCATAGTAAGTTGTTGCATTGCTTCATTTAATTATATAGGCCCACCAAATACATAAAGTTGTCTGTATTAGGTTTGCAATATTGCAATATGTTTTCCAATGTATTTTTTAATACTGAATACGAATCTGAAGTCAAAATTGGGAGCCAAACTGCAAAAAAACGAAAAAAAATAAAGATAAAAAAAGGCAAAGTTTCCGATTTAGTAATTCTCCTACATGATGATATCTTATAATTTCTATTATTTTCTGGATCTTTTTACCTTACTTAACCTTGCAACAGATTTCTGGAACCCTTTTACCAACTTTATTGAGTTTCTTTTTGTAGAATCCAGTAGCTATCAACAAACATATTTTCAAATAACTGCAAATATGTTTACAGATTACGCAGAGGCAATAGGGAATAAATATATATGTATGAGTTGCTGTAGGATTCTACAAACGGAAACTGAATTCAGTTTGACCCCTAATTTTGACTTGAAATTCATGTTTAGCATCAAAAAGTACATTGAAAAACAAATGTCAGACACTCAATATGGACAACTTTTATTTTGTATTTGATTGTAGCAAGTTACAATTACTACTTCACTTTTTACATGCCAATAAAATATGTTTTAAATTAATTCAAAACATGTATTTTTTTAATATATGATAACTTTATTTACAGATTACAGACACACAAATGTACCTGTTGAAGAAAAGCAAGAAAATAGAACTACTTTCGGTCCATTATCAACATCTATAAACACAAGTTTTCCATCAGAATGTGGTCCAGTTTCACAAATTATAAATGAGAATGCACTTAAGGTAAATTCCTAATAATCTTTAAATGAGTTGTAACTATTTTTAATTAGTTACTTTGCAGTTATCAAGATATTTTCAAAATTTGCTACATCAAACATTGGTTGATTTTGGCAATGCTGGTTCTACAGACGCCCAAGTTAAAAAATTACAAGCTGATATTGAAAGTTTGAAGTGGATTCATAAGCAAGAGCTCAGTGAAATAAAACACAATACTGGTAAATAATTTTCTATGAGAACGACACCAAAAATAACAATTTTACATATTTTATTTATTTATATATTTTAAATGCACAATTTTTTCTCTTAGTGCATCTGTTTTGCTTTTTATTATTGTTAATTGTAGCTGAGTTTTAATATAAGGAAATGTGAGCTTAAGTAGTTTAATGTTGGTCTGTAATTTGTTTGCAATTACAAAAAAATAATAAGCCACGCATTATCCTCATGCCGAAATATATTTATTTTTCCGTCTGACAAATGTTGTAAAAACATTTATATTTGCTTATTTTGCTTTTTAATTCAAAGTGTAAATAAATAAATAGAGTGCAATTTATTAATAATTGAATATTTCATTTTACAGAGCTTATATTATTAGAAATAAGAAATAGTTTTGAAATAGATAATGCTCATAATATAACAAAGTATAAAAAGAAGGCAGAAGCTGAGCGAATTCGGTGTGTTCAAGAAGCTAAAAGCAAGCAATGGTAAGCATTATTATAAGAAAATTAGAATAGATTTTTCAATTAATTTAAAAACTGCAGGTGTGTTTATTGTGGGAAAGAAGCTCAGTTTTATTGTTGCTGGAATACTTCATACTGTGATCATGAATGCCAACGAAAGCATTGGAATACCCACATGACCCTTTGTGGCCAACACAGAGACACTAATCAAGATGATTCTTCAACCTTAAATGTTCGTTTCAATCACAATAGATTTACTAATAGAAAAAATATTGTAGCAAAATATTAACAATTTTCAGATAAATGATTCAAGATCAAAAATAAAGACTAAGACCATAAATCAAAATATTATACAATCTTTCAAAAGAACTCCGAAATTGAAACATAATTTGGATGTAATTTGAACTAACTTGACTAGATATAATAAATTTCTATATCAGATTTTACATGGAATTTATATTTTAGAAACCTACAATATCCAATAAATTCTATTTAGAAAGTCCAATCATTTGAACATTTCAAAGTGTTCGTTCATAGATTCTAGAAAAATCACATTATAGATTCCCACATAAAAGCAAAAATATTAATGATTTTGATGACAATTTAATATGATGAATATGTAAGTATATAGTTTTTTAATAAATATCATATTTAATTTAGGTATGATTATCTCTC